TATATAACTTTTGGAGACTGGCTTTTTTGTTCAGCATAATTTCCTCGAGGCTTCCCTATATTGTTGCATGTGATCAATAATTTGTTGCTTTTTATTGCTATATTCCATGGTATAAATATACCACAGTTTGGTCAACCACACACTATTGAAGAACATCTGGATAATTTCCAGATGGAGGCTATTTTAAATGAAGGTGCTATGAAGATTCACATGTATAAGTTTTTTCGTGAACATAAGAGAAAGGCCCTAGAAGAGCCAAAACTGTTTTGAAAAAGAATAAAGGAATCTCTCTTCCCAGTGTTAAGGCTTATTATAGCTCCAGTAATTGTGACAGCACAGTCTTGGTAGAGGGCTGGACACGCAGATCAATGGAACACAATAGAGAACACAAATTGCCCACATGCTTTTTTACAAAGGTGTAAAAACAATTAATGGTAGAGGGTAGCCCTTTCAACGAAGTGTGCTACAACAAGCGGACATCCACAGGGGAGGGGGAAAAAAAATCAACCTCAACCTAAACCGTATGAAAAGTAACTCAAAATGGATCTTAAATGTAAGACTTAACACTTAAATATAAAACACAAAACTATAAAACTCTTAGCAAGAAACATAGGGCACATGACAACATCTGAGTTCTATAATTCTGGGTACACCAGGAAGAGTCTCTTTCCTTAACAACTCCCCATCCAGTCTGTCCCAGATGACTGAAATTCTACTATTAGACAGTCATACCTTTGGCCTAAGGGCTCATCCCAAAAATTCTTTTTTGGAGATAAGAAATGAGAGCTTTGAACCTTGGGGTGAATCAGAGTATCAAGTCCCCTTTAGCTGACAGCTGAGAGGAGGCTCTGAAAGGAAGTGAAAGGAAAAGGGCACTAAGCACTTGGAGAATGAATGAGAATGGGAAGGGTAAAAGGAAAAAAATGACATTCTGACAAGTTCCACCTACTTAACAACACTAGGGTCAGTTCCTCCAAAATGTGTATCTGGTTCTGCATCGCAGTAAGGACTGGGGGCAGGGGGTGCAGAATGTTCACCAAACTACAGTCAGCCAACATGTGCAGACATTTATACACAGTAGCCACCAATTCACAGGCAAAGAAAAGGAGTGCATATGCATGTCAAAGAGTGGAGGTTCGTGGTTGACCTTTCCTAATTAGTATGGTACAAATCTAGCTGAGAACAAAGAATTTATATTCCAAACAGGATAAAAGTATGAAAAGTGTCTTTAGTACCTACCTAGTATTTTCCTTCCTCTGTTTATGACTTCTTTTACATAGATGTTTTGTGGAACTATTCAAGCAAATGCCTTCTTTGGGACTCCTTCTAACTCTGTGTGCAGCATGGTTGAAGAATGGGATATTCCTGTTACAGATACATGGGACACATCACCAACTTCCAACGAATCAAATCCAATTGAATGCCTTTAACCCTAAAACTTTGTAGAAACAAATTTATCATCTTTGCTAAACTAGAAGACACAATGGGAGCCATATGGTAGTGGTGATCATATTTCCCAAATCATAAATTTATGGCTAAAACCTGAGGAATGCTCGTCATGGAAACAACAGGAGTGAAATTCTAAATCCAAGCAAGGTGGACCCATGTGCTCTATGGCTACCATGGCCTGCCTGTCCTATCCAAGTGGGACGTATTCAGAGGAAGCGCTGACTCTGGATGGAGCCCCCTCATGGCAAGGAGGAGCCACTGCCTCTCAGAGAACCTTCAGCTTTTCCGTGTCACATTAAATGGACCTTAAAAAAAAAATCCCGGCCGGGCACGGTGGCTCACGCCTGTAATCCTAGCACTTTGGAAGGCCGAGACGGGCGGATCACAAGGTCAAGAGATAGAGACCATCCTGGCCAACATAGTGAAACCCCGCCCCTACTAAAAACACAAAAAAATTAGCTGGCGTGGTGGCGCATGCCTGTAGTCCCAGCTACAAGGGAGGCTGAGGCAGATGAATTGCTTGAACGCGGGAGGCGGAGGTTGCAGTGAGTCCAGGCTGCACCACTGCACTCCAGCCTGGCGCCTGTCGACAGAGCGAGACTGTCTCAAAAAAAAAAAAATCCCTTGTATTGTCTCCTGACTGGGAGGTAAACTCGCATTTCCTGGCAGGATGCTCCAAGGATATAAGCCTCAAGTTGAATGAGGCAGCAGCACATACAGACAGAATAGGAGTCTGACCACCTTCCTCTCTCAGCTCATCACAAAAACCCACAACAGGCATGAGCGGCCCGCTACCTAAGACGTCCTAACCCCAAGCCAGGGGCTGCCACAACCTCAGCAGGGTGTGGTGCGTCAGGCTTAGATACATTCTCTCTCTCTCCAATGCAGACTCCCCAGAAAACCCACAAGCAGAGATAGACAGGACAACCCTCTTGGGAGTAGGCCACATAAACAAGCGAGCTTCCATGAGGCGCTCTGGCTGCCCTGTGGTTAACTCCTGCTAGGGACTGGCTCCACCTGTGTGGCCCCAGGCAGCTCACTTAACCTCTCTCTTCTCTATGCCTCCCATTTCCTTTTCTGTAAGATCTTGTGACATTGCTGAGTATGGTGGCACTTGCCTGTAGTTCCAACTAATGGGGAGGCTGAGGCATGAGGATTGCTTTAGCCTAGGAGTTTGAGGCTGCACTGAGCTATGATCACACCACTGTATTCCAGCCTGGGTGTCAGAGCAAGACCCCATCTCTTTAAAAAAAAAAAAAAAAAAAAAAAGCCGTGATGCAGATTCATGAGTTCAAATGCTGGCCTGGCACAGAGCAGACCCTCAATAGAAGCTGGTTCTGTCACTTATCATTACTAGGGCACGCTCTCCTGAAGCTAATGTCTCAGACATCTCTAAGTCCTTGCCCAGGTAGTCACTTTCCTAAGAAACATGAAATTCTTCATCTGGGGCTATAAAAGATCTTGTTGGTGGAAGGGAACAAACTCTAGATGTGGAGTCGGAGAACTGAGACACAGGCAGAACCTGTCACTGAACTTTGGCGCAACACCCTGGGCCAGGCCCTTGACTCTCTGAGCTTGTTTCAATCAGGAACAAAACAGATCAGCTGCTAAGAGTCTTTGCCTCGGAAGGGTGTTGTGAGGATCAGAAGGGATCACTCATATGACAGCCCAGTCCGCCTGGCCAAACTGAATAGCAAAGACCCAGCCGAGGTAGAAAGCAGGGAAGCATGGCCACCAAGGTTTCCCCAGCCTTGTCCTGCCCTATCCCAAATGAAGGGAGCTTCAGCAGGGCCACCGTCTCCATCTAAGCACAGCAGCATCTCCTGGGAGAGGGTCTAAGAGCTGCAGCCTTGTCCTTACACACCATGAAGATGGGCCAAGAAAGGGGTAGCTGATGAGATAATCTGCTGCAGGGCTCTCCAGGTGAGGAACCCAGCCTGCAACCTGCATGCTCCAAGGGCTGCGGCTGCAAAGAGGCTTCTTCATAATCGCCATCATCATCTAGACACCAGAACCACCAGGACTACAGACCTATTTCCTAAAGCTGGCTCTTAAATTTGCCCCGTATCCCTCATTCTCCTCCAATATCCAATCTGAACACTAACAACCAAACTTCTGAAACCGCATCTGGGTTACCTTCCCCACTGAAGATCCCACAATCTTCAGGTGGACTCCACTTTCCAGAACCCTGCCTCTGCCCTGCCGGTCCCAGCTCCAATACCAGGCCTGGCCCGCCCTTATTCCCCACCTCGCTATCCATCTGCTGACTGGAGCATCCTCCTCCTGTTCACCCAAATCCTACCTGGCCTTTAGAGCTTGGCTAAAGGCTCGCTCCATGGAAAATGCCCTTCCAGATTTCTAACTCACATGGACACTTCCTTTTTCTTCCCAACGTCATTTCCTTAACATGAAATCTGCCAAACTCTGTGTAAAAGTTCTGGTGCCTACATACCCCAAGTCAAAAATCAATCTCACTCCTTTGAAGAGAGGAGAACTTAGGCCTAGCTCTCCTTGGAATGACACCTTATATCACCTCTCTCCCCACAGCCACAGCCTAACTCTACAAAGATTTCCATGGCTGAAATATTTGACTGAAAGCCCCTTGACTTTCCCTCTTCTCCAGGCCGAGGCCTCCCAGACCCTCACTGTCATCTGTTTGTCTAAGTCCTGGTGAAACTGCAGCTCCTAGAACTAAGCCTGAAGCTCCAGAAGTGGGTTGAGCAGTACGGAGTTGCTCATTCTGTACCTTGAGCTGGGCTTGTAATGAGACCTCTGCCCCGTACACTTGCGGTGTGTACTAAGTCCTGGCTTATTTTATTTGGTTGCTTTTGCTTCTCCAAAGAGCCTGGAGTCATGTTCTCTTACCCTCCAGAATGCTGGGCACAGGCATAAACCTGCTGACTCACCATATGATTTTCCCCCAAAATCAGGGCTGTACTATATATGACATGCTTATTCATCAGGCTAAGATTCTGAATAAAAAACACCTACTGCCTTATGCAAGCCAGAAGGGTTATGGGCTCTGAGAGACATCAGGCAACAAAGACACCAAGAAAGACATGTTGAAAACACGGAAACATCAGAAGCAAAGCCACCAGGCCCAACAGTGATCTGACTACTGTTTGAAGCATTCTTCCCTAGGCCTAAGATATAAAGCTTGGACTGGGGACACCACAGACCATCTGTCCTACGATCCCAAGTCCTAGGCGACTCCTCTTGGTGCTATCACAATAGGAGAAGTTATATATTCAATAATGACCTCCATTCATGATCTGCCTTCTTGAAAGGCATTTATGCCTATGAGTCAATGACACTCTTGGTTGACTTGCCCATTCATTTGAAATGCATTCTGGTATCTAGTATTTCAGACAGAAACCAGGTTTAACCCGGCTCTATGCTGCCCCCACTGTGGCATAGACAATACCATTTTATTTTCTTCCTGGGCACACAAGAGGACTTCATTTCTCAGGCTCCCTTGGAGTGAAGTGGGGCCATTGTGTCTGACTGCTACTCTCTCTCACTACTTGAAGCCGAAACACTAGTGGGGAACCATGAAGCCCCAGAGCAGGGATTCTCTGTGTGCTCCCTGGACCAGCAGCATCCGCATCCTCTGGGAACTTTTTGGCAATGCAGATTCTCAGGCCCGTTCCTCTGGAAGTGGGGCCCAGCAGTGTATTTTCACAAGCTGTTAGGTGATTCTGACACTCCAGTGGGAGCCACCACTCAGGAAGACAGCAGAGTTCTTATATAGGAAGATCTGGGTTCCTGAATGAAGGGGCAGTGCTGATGCAAACTTCCATTGGACCGTGACAGGGGAGAGAAATCAACTTGTATTGTGCTAACCCCTTTGGGGTGTTATTTTGAAAGTGGTTATTCTGTCCCTACTAAAGCAGAAATCATCACTGGCTTCAGGTCCAGTCTACTCAGAGGGCCATTTCCTACCTGGCACAAGCTCTCTGGAGTGCAGAGAACTAGGGTTATCTTATCCTGCCTGCAACAGCCTGACCAGGAACCTCTCTACCCACTTCATTCATTCCTTCACAGTCTGGCTGGTATGCTAACAATAGATGAAGAGGAAGTCACAGAGGGCCAGGATCAGATAGCAGCTGCTGGCGTTAACACATTCCTTCTACCCTCAGCTCCCTGGCACCCCACCTGCTTCTCAGTTAAGGATGTCTGAAGCCTGCATCTGGCCTTAACTCACAGAGGGTGAGTATCAGGGACTCTGTGTGTGTAGGTCCTGTAGGCCAGCAGCTATGGCTGCAGACAGACCACGTCCCAGATGGAAAGGCTTGGATGTCCATCTCCCATATGACCAGCAAGCTCAGTTTTGAGGGTCTCATCTCTCCCTGCCATCTTTGCTTTTCCTCTCCAACCGAAATCCCTCTTAACTCCTTCAGGCGCCCCATCCATCCTGCCTTCTCCCCATGCCCCCCAGCTTCTCCCTTTTCCGCTGTCCTTTGGCAGGATCTTAGACTCCCAGTGTGGCCTTAGATACCACAGAGCCCGCCCCATAAGGTTTCTCAGTTTTACACCAAGTTCTGCATCTCCCTCCCTAATGAAATATGGATCTGTGGTGGGGGCTGCATTCAGCATGCCTTGTACATACCCCTGGCCTTGGCACCAGACACAAGACACTTGTTAAATTGACACCCCCTCAATGCTTGCTTACTGATTAGTGAGTGAGGTACCTCAAAGAAGGGCAACACCAGATGAGCACCCTGGACACCCTCCCTGAGGATACTACACAGGCGCAAAGGAACCAATGGACTCAGATTTAAGATGCAGACACACGGACCAGTCACCTTAGCAGAGAACACCGTTGGGCCCCAGACCTTCTCCTCCAAGCAGAATTCCTCTCCCTCTCCTCCAGCCAGCTTCCGGCTCCCCCAGGATCATTCAGCTACAAAAAGGAATGCCTCCCCTTGGCTCTGGGAGCTGCTTGGGGCTCCCCTTGTGTGCTAAACTCTCCCCTTTCCCTGCCGCCTCACATTTACACACAGTTCTTTTTCTGCTCCAGGCTATGTATTCCCTTTGGCTGCTGCCCCCGGCAGGCGGCAGGCAGGCCCAGGCCCAGCACGGAGGCACATCGGCACCTCTGGGAGCCTCCCACACCTCCTACCTTCCGAAGCTGGGCCTTTTCCCGGGGCAGTCTTGGAGGTGGAGGTTTACTCACCTACATCTAGTGTTTGGCCATATGCCAAGTTAGACAAGGAATACATTCCCTCTGTGCCCCTCACATGCACTCTTGTTAGGCTGGTCCATCTGTGTACCACTTCTTCCAGCCCTCTCTCAGGGACTCCCTGCTGTCTGCACATCTTTCTTTTATAACGCTCTTCCCTAATTCCCCAAAGAAGCCCTGAGTCAGGAGGGGCCACAGGGCAGCTGGCCTCTGAGGTCTATGAAACCTGAACACAACAGCTTCCCCCTTTTCTCCTTCCCTCGGGAGCTGCAGAGGAGAAGCGGTTGACTGTTCCAGTCAGCAGAGCCGCTCTGGATGCCAGGGGAAGGCCACCGTCTGTTAGGGGCCCGTTGCGTAAGGCTGGGGCTGGGAATCATATGCTTGAGACCTGCGAGGGAGGAAGCCATCTAGCTACTTGCTGTCTGCTGGCTGTGAGATACTCGGCAGCTCCTGCAACCTCCCAGCACCTCAGCTTCCTCACCTACAAATGGGGCTAGTGATAGGTCCTAACCTACATCCTGGGGCTGCTACAGATGACATGAGCGAATACAAACACTTGGAACGGGCGGGCTCCTGGTGCGTAGGAAACACTCCAGGGTCAGTTGTAACTCTTATCATGGTTGTTATTTCCTCAGTCCTCACTTTAGGAGGTCACTAGCCTGGGAACAATGTGAAAGGCAAGGAGTAGAGACCACTGTGAGGCAGGTGGTGTGGAAGATTCCACGGAGGTCTGTAATGTGGATAACCAAGAAGATTCACCAGGATGGGAACTTAGAACAAGAGATTTGTGTGGTGTTGGAAGGCACATTTGGGGTTATGATAATGAGTGGGGTGTGGCCGACAAGAGGCAGCAGCGGCTGAGGGTCAGGCAGGTAGACACACCCTCCAGGTAGCTGGGCTCACACACGTCACCAAAGAGAGCACTTTGGAGCATGGTAGCTCACATCTGTCATCCCAACATTTTGGGAGGCCAGGAGCTCAAGACCAGCCTGGGTAACATACAACATAACAAGACCCTGCCTTTACAAAAAAAAAAAAAAAAAAAAAAAAAACCCACTTTGCAGATCAGAAGTCTAGAAATTCAACACTAGATTCTCAGCCCCACATCTCCCTCCCCATCTCTCAAAGGGGATCTTTTTGGCTCTCTCCCCAGCTGGTGCCTCCTGCCCCTTTCTCCATCAGTTTTTGGAGCTGTTCCCAGGACCCGGCTGAGCCATGTCTGGGCAGTGACACCCTACTCAGGAGGGCAAGATGCCCCCAACATGGGAAGCCATTAACAATTATTAAAAATTAACTGGAGAGATCTTCTAGAGATAGAGAGAGGCACCCAGAAAAAAAGTGTTTAAAGAACAGAGCTTTAAGTCTTTTTTTTTTTTTAATTCAGCAACTAACAATAGTGATGACTCAAGAGAAAGGATATATTTCTTTCAAAAAAGGGTAAGAAATCTTTTTTATGCACTTGCCATGGAAAATGCTTAGCTCGTCAAATTCCTTGTGCTAAAAGGAGCTAAACCAACACTACAGCAGGGCCCTCCCCGTACCAGCCCACTCAGCCCTGTTCTAATCCTAATCCCTGCATAGCAGCAGGTAATGGAGGGTTTCAGCCTCAGGGGCACAGGATGTGAGCAGAGCAAGGGAAATGCAGTTCAGCTCCAGGATTTAGCCACAACTCCTTGACTGAAACTCTTTTAGATGGCTCTCTGCCACACGTAGTGGGTGATGTTAGGTTTTGGAGGGTGAAGATGGGAACAAAGGCCCAAATCTGAGAGATGACCTAGAATAGAGGTTCTCAGAGTCCCATCTCGGACCAGCAGCAGCTGCATCACCTGAGAACTTAGAAATACAAATTATCAGGGCCCCACCCCAGACTCCTGAATCAAACACGCTGGGAGTGGAGCCCAGCGTGTGTGTAACAGGCCCTCCAGGTGATCCGGGTGCATTTGAGAACCATTCCTCCAGGACTCAGGTTGTGTTTCATTGCAAGGGAAACAAGAAACTGTTCTGTGCCTGCCTAGTAGGAAACAAACCACAGGTGTTCCCAATTTCATTCCTTAGGTCAGTATCATTGAGTTCAGAGTGAGTGGCTCTACTGATTTTAACATGACAATAAAGGCAACTAGTCTCTTTTTGCTGTTAAGAAGAAAAAGATGACAATGCCTGCAGAAGCCAGTGGCTCTGGAGGGAAAGGAGCTCAGAGGTGGAGAGAAGCATCAGCTCGTCTTCCAGGAGCCCTCCCTTCTCGGCCCCAGGCCCTGATGGGCAGGTGGTTACTTTCTGTCCTCTCAGTCTAACCAGCCCCTTTCTTCCATCCATCCTCTGGACTGTCTCCCCAAACTCCACTTCCCCTTAAAAAAGGCTATAGACTGGCTGGGCGTGGTGGCTCACGCCTGTAATCCAAGCGCTTTGGAGGCCAAGGCAGGCAGATCACCTGAGGTCAAGAGTTCAAGACCAGCCTGACCAACATGGTGAAACCCCAACTTAAAAAACAAAACAAACAAAAAAAGGCTATAGACAGGAGATCTGATCACAGTGGGGTTTGCTGAGGCTCCAAAGTGTCCCCCACCTTGAGACACCTAAGACAAGAGTGTCTAAAAACACAGCCCTGCCTGTCTTGTCTCTGTGGTTCTCAAAGCCAGGACAGGATGGGTGGCAACCACGGCTGAGCCAGGGCTTCAGTGAGGCTGCACCAACCTCAGATTCTAGTGACTCCACCAGGCCTTAGAAAGGTCAGTTAACACTGGCAGGTCTCAATTTCCCTGTCTATAAAATGGACAAATAACCATCTAGTAAGTGCTCATTAAATATTAGCACTCCTGGCCTGGAGACAGTGAGCCCTCTAGGCAGGAGTGTGAAAGGGCCTAGATGCTGGGGTTCCAGCCCCGCTGAGCTCCACACAGCTGCCCCCTTCCCACCCCTGCCACCCTGCCGTTTCCTCAGCTCCTTCTGGAGCCTTGAGTGCACAAGAGAAGTTCAGTAAATAGAGTGAACTGAGGGGACATAGATGGAAGAAAAGAGATAAATGAACCATGTATGACTCAGGCAAAGACTGAATCAATCAGTGTTGGTATTTGAGGGGGAAGGAAATGGCTAAACAAAACAAACTGTGTTTACCACCATGAAAGGAAGCCCAAACAGCAACCCGCTAATGGCAGGTGAAAACAGGAAATTCTGAAAAGTGTGTGAGAAGGGCACTGTGTTTTTTTCTTCTAAATAATTAAAATGGTTCAAAAGCTTATTCCTCTCCCCTCTAAAGAGCTCACTGTCCAATGCATGGAGACGACCCTCGTATGGCCCTACCTCACACCGTTTTGTTCCTCACCTGGCAAAGTCTCTGCTTCTTCTCAGGGGTCAGGGGCCCTGCTCCTGTCTTCACTGATCTGCTTGCTCTCCATCAGTATCACTGGTTAACAAGTGATTCTTTTTTTTGCCAATCAGTTTGAGCTTATGAGGTTGCTCAGGTTAGCCTTGAACTGATGACCTCGCCTTCGCGAGCGCCATGACCTCCGGCGGGAGCCACTTTGGACCCCCAACAAGTGATTCTATATCCATTCCATAGAATGGTATGCAGCCATCCCAATGCTTACTGCAGCTACACGATGTCTGTGTTCTGTCATCTTCACCTTACGATGCCTAGAACTTTGAGGGAAATCATTATACAGTGAAATGAAGAAACCACCAAAACTGTGTATGTATGTTCTGATTATAACTATATAAAATATGAATTCATCAGAATAAAGACAAAGGAAAGACTCAAATGAAAACAGGTTTGTTAGGAGGTAGGATTATAATTGTCTTTTCCCTCTTTTTTCATTATTTATTGATTTTAGAGACAGGGTCTTGCTCTGTTGCCCAGGCTGGAGTACAGTCACACAATCATGGCTCACCGCAGCCTCAAACTCCTGGGCTCAAGCAATCCTACTACCTTAGCCTCCTGAGTAGCTGGAACTGCTATGGTGGCATGTGCCACTGACTAGTTTTTTATTTTTTATAGAGATGGGGTTTCGTTTTCTTGCCCAGGCCAGCTTCAAACTCCTGGGCTCAAGTGATCCTTCTATGTTGGCCTCCCAAAGTGCTGAGAATACAGGCATGCGCCACCACTCCAGGTCTCTTTTTTATATGATGTGGTGGATGTTGACTTTATACTTAAAAATTTTTAAAAACATATGGCGAATATATAAGGTGTTTGTGCCCCACCCCCCTGCCACAAAATTTGTATATTGAAATCCAATACCCAATGTGATGGTATTTGGATGTGGGGCCTTTGGAAGGTAATTAGGTCATGAGCGTGGAGCCCTGATGAATAGGATTAGTGCCCTTATAAGAAGAGGTTATAAGGAGAGGCTAGAGAGCTGGCTTGCTGTCTTTCCACTGTATGAGGAGAGCAAGAAGTCAGTAATCTGCAACCTGGAAGAGGGTCCTCACCAAAACCTGACCGTGCCAGCACCCTGATCTCACCCTCTATCCTCCCAAACTGTGAGAATAAATGTCTGCAGTTTATAGTCTACCCACCCTCTGGCACTTTATTTGTTTTTGTTGTTGTTTTTGAGACGGACTCTTGCTCTGTGGTCCATGCTGGAGTACAATGGCACAATCGCAGCTCATTGAAACCTCGGACTCCTGGGTTCAAGCAATTCTCCTCCCTCAGCCTCCTGAGTAGCTTGGATTACAGGCACACACCACCACGCCCGGCTAATTTTTGAATTTTTAGTAGAGATAGCATTTCACCATGTTGGCCAGGCTGGTCTTGAATTACTGACCTCAAGTAATCTGCCTACCTCAGCCTCCCAAAGTGCTGAGAATACAGGAGTGAGCCACCGCCCCCAGCCGGCACTTTGTTATAGCGGCCAGAACGGACTAAGAATGTCAGGCTTCCAAAATCCACTGATTTTCCCATGGACTATACAACTTTCAGAAAAGCATTATTTTTCTAGGATGATGAGGGATGAGAAGGTCATAGCCCATGGGAGAACTACTTACCCAGAGACACCAAAGCCTTTGGAGCCAGGGACACAAAAGAGGATGTGAACTTGCCATGGGGACTCCAGACAGTGGAATGGAGGAGAAAACAACAGCTAAATATACGGGACAAATTTCCTACAAGTGGAGCCATCTAACAACAGAATTGCCACGGCCCAGTCTCCTGACCATGAAGACATGGGGAGAGGGTATTAAATAATCATCGACCTGCAGACACTGGTGAGCTCAGGTGCTTCCAGATCTCATTTCATACCCCAGCAGGCTACAGCGTAAACATGTGGTCAGTCAGAGTGGGATTAAAGCCTCAAACTCAGATGTCCCAGGGCCTGGACTGCTGTAGCACGAGAGCTACACCAGGGCTTCCAACCAGTGCTTCTTTGCATGGCCTGGGTTGGCAGCCTCCAGCCTGTTGGCTCACCCCAGTATGCCCTACAAATATTATCATTTTCTGCCCTTGCCATGAGGCAGGAAGGTGGGGAGCACCTCTTATCACAGCAAAGAGGAGGAGATGGCTTCCTACAAAAGCTAGTAAATATTTCATCAAAAGGAAGTCTGTCTTCACAGAAATTGTCCCAGCTAGACTTCCAATCCCTAACTCTGATTTTAAGAGATCCACCTGATCAAATGAATCTTCAGGAACAACAGCCAAAAACAAAGAGTGACCTAAACATGGCTGGTGACAGAGAGGGAGGAGAGCCAGGAACCGCAGAAGCCCAGCACTGAGAGAGTCAAAAGTATTGGTCACACTTCCATATCCTGAGTCATGTTACAGCCAACTTTTGTTTACCAGACCTACAGTCTCTCTTCCTGCCATTCCCAGCTTCCTATTTTAATGTTCTTTTTTTCTTGTTGACTACTATCTCTACAGGCAATGAATACAGATAACAGAGAGGCAGTGAAAAAACTCAACTGAGTTATCTGCTACTGGGGATTACCTGATCCATGGGGAAATCACCAGTTGACAAGAGGACAAAGAATAGGGTATACCTCATTGTTGTCAGATTTGCTTATCTCAAGTCACACCTGCCCCCCCATCCTGGCTACCTATGCTCACCCCTGTGACCAGGAGGGAGGGGAAGTATTTGCCCACCGCACTCCTCCTCGCACCGTGGCTCCCTACTGCAAGGATGTTATCAGAGGTCTCACTGGATGGTGGCTACTATCCTGTGGAATTTCCACAGATGGACAAGCTCAGAAAGGAAATCTGTGGTTCAAATTTTTATCAAAATTCGGGTAATTTTTCAGCTAGTTCAGCCATCTATATGCTTTCAGGAAATAACAATTGTGGGGGCAGGGGTGGTAAAGCAGGCTTCAAATTGATTTAAACCTGATCCCCTGTCCAAAGAGCATTGTACAACTGAGCAGGTGCCTCCATTTATACTTCCACCCTCTCCAGTTACATAGCAAAGGGCTCGCAACTCCCAGACACTGAGCCAGCCAGCATTCAGAGAGCCCACTGTGAGCTGCGCCGGGCGGGTCAGGGACAAGGACATCACATGGCACTGCCTGTACCACGTTACAGTTATGGTTTGGTTGAGGCCATAAGGTGACTCAATAATATCAAAGACACAAAATCACACACATAAACAAAAAAACATACACTTAAACATAGTAACACCTTGAGACAGTCATGTCCAAAAAGGCCCAAGGAGTTGGTCTAATATGAGGCCTGGAGGAGGAAAGGCAGAGTCGGGCAGAGACCTGCAGTGACCTGAGGATATAAGAGCAGAGGCTGGATGCCCCAGCAGGGCCCAAGTGTGAGAAAGTTGGAGGCCCTGGGCATAGACTGTAAAGAAACCAGTTGGGAAGGAGTGAAAACTGAAAAGAGATGATGGTTGTTGGGTGGAGTCGGGGGGATGCTATCCATGATGAGGCTCTCAGGTGCTGGGGGGCCAATGAGTTCAGACTTGACTCACCAGTCAAAATACGGGAACAATGACAATCTTACACATTGCACACCAGCACAGAACAGCCACAGAAATGGGGGAAGATCCATTTTTGGGGTTGACAGTGACCACCTAAATGAGATGCATGTAGCACTGCTGAGCCTCATACCTGCCTGCCAGGTGGGAAACATCACCTCTTATTTTGGAAGTGAGGAACCCCCATTAGCCTTGAGCCTTGCATCACATTTCCAAATGACTCAGTGGTAGCCACAAAGTAGAGTGAACCCAAATGATAAATGGATAAGGAAAATGTGGTATATCCATACAATGCAGGATGGTATTTGGCAACTAAAAGGGAGAAAGTGCTGACACATACCATGACACAGAGGAACCTTGAAAACACTAGGCTACAGCTGGGTGTGGTGGCTCACACCTGTAATCCTAGCACTTTGGAGGCCAAGGTGGGCAGATCACCTGAGGTCAGGAGTTTGAGACCAGCCTGGCCAAGATGGTGAAATCCCATCTCAAAATTTAAAAAATAAAATTAAAAAAAAAAAAGAAAACACTAGGCTAAGTGAAAGGCACCAGTCACAAAGACCACATACTGTAGGATTCCATTTGTGTGACCAGTCCAGAACATAGAAAAAGAAGGTCAGTGGCAGCCAGAGGTTGGGGGAGAGGAAAACAAAGTGACTGCTAATGCAGTGATGAAGGTATCCTAAATTTAGATAGTGGTGATGGTTGCACAATCCTGTGGATATACTGGAAACTGCTGAATAGCACCCTTTATAAGAATGAATTCTATGGTATGCAAATCTCAGTAAAGTTGTTGTTTAGAAAAACTGGCTTAAAACAGGCACTGTGGTATGCACCTATAGTACCAACTACTCAGGAAGCTGAGGCCAGAGGACCCCTTGAGTTTAGCAGAGTTCACGATCCCTGTCTCTTGAAAAACAGAAACTGACATAAATATATTTGCAATTCTCCTGCCTTCATATATAGGATATGTGTGATTCCATTTAATCTTTATTACTATTTCAATCAATAGGTACCCTGTGCTATAATCAAAATAATGTGCCCCTCCTCCCCCCAGAGTGTGTCTATATATCCCACCACGGTGCCCTTTCTGCTTTTTCGCCTCCTGTGTGTCTCCAGTGCTCCCTGTCAGGCTGTGGGCCAACACTTACCTGCTGTTTGGAGCCCCCCCGCCCCCTACCATACCCACTCGCCTGCTCCTCCACACCCCTTCGGCTCAACTGTGTAAGGGCAGGTCTGTGCTTGTGTCAATGCTCAGAATGAATAGTTTCAATCAGTCAACCGGTGGGGCCCCTCTGCTGAGACAGGGCAGAGCAAGGTGGGGAGAAGACAGGCTTGTTATCTTCATTTTCCTTTTGAAATAAAGATTTCTTTGGCAAGTTTAACTTTTCTCAGGAAATAAGGTTTGTGCTGGCAAAGGAGGCAAATTTCGATCTTTTAAAATACTGCTGCCACTCATTTATTCATTCATTTAAAAATGTTCCTTGGGTACCTCCAGTGTGCTGGCACTGGCCAGGTGCTGGGGTGGAACAGTGAACAAGGCCTTGTGGCACTGCCGTGGTAGTGAGTGGAGATGGGCAATGACAAACGATGGCAGGAGTGCTCTGGAATAAAATAAATCTGGGGGAGGGGCGATGAGGGCTGGGGATGGGGCAGATGCTGCCGTTGTAAATAGGGTGGTCAGGGGAGGATTTACGGAGGAGGTGACAGTTAAACTCAAGGAGGGAACGAGACTGCAGTTGTGGGAAAGAATGAAGAATGTTCTAGGTGGCCGGGCACGGTAGCTCAGACCTGTAATCCAGCACTTTGGGAGGCCAAGGTGGGTGGACCACCTGAGGTCAGGAGTTAGAGATCAGCCTGACCAACACAGTGAAACCCATCTCTACTAAAAATACAAAATTAGCTGGGCATGGTGGTACATACCTGTAGTCCCAGCTACTCGGGAGGCTGAGGCAGGAGACTCGCTTGAACCCAGGAGTCGGAGGTTGCAGTGAGCTGAGATGGTGCCATTGCACTCCAGCCTGGGTGACAGAGTGAGACTCTGTCTCAAACAAACAAAAAAAAAAACAAACAAAGAATGTTCTAGGTTAAGGAGGCACAGAACAAGTGAAAGGCCATGAGACAAGAGTGTGCCAAGTGGGTTTAGGAATAAGATGTATGGATCCAACAAAGTTGGTGTCGGGGAGGCAGCCAGAGGAGCCACAGGGAGTTCAGCTCAGTGGGAAGAACTCTGCCTTCTCTCCGAGGGAGAGGAGGGATGACCATTACCTCAATGGCATCCCATGGCCCTAACATCATTATCTGATGTTTGTTGGTATACTGAGCTGGACATGGCTGAGTGTGATGGGAGGTGGAAAGCACCATGGGGCTACCCTGGTGGACACATGCCTGCAATCAGGGCCTTCTGGAGGCAATGTCAAGGTGACATTTCAAACAGGCCTTGAGGAGAACACTGCATATCTCATTGGACGGTGCAGGAGAACAGCTGGGAACAATGAAGACTGAGAAGCTAGTCTCCCCAAGGTCCACACAACAGGACTCAGGCAGTAACACCGGATGTGTTTAGGGCAATGTGGGGTTGGGGGAGATGGGAATGGTTATCCCAATAGAATAAAAACCAGTAGCTACTGAGGTACCAGGGACATTTGACATGTACGTGGTAAACTCTACACTTTACAAGAATCTGGCAAAGGAGATGTCTCAATCCCCATTCCAAAGTTGCAAGATGGAGGCTTGGAGAGTCCAAATTACTTGGCCAAGGTTGCAAAGCTAGCAGGCAGGAGATGGTCAACTCCAAGCCCCAGTTAGCCTCACTTCCTGGCTCTATCAGTCAGACTGTGTAGAATTGCTAACCATCAACTATTTCTAACTTACCAAAATGGCTATTTCATATAAACCCTATGGAGAGGCCTGGCCTTCTCAATATTTACCCACAACAGAAGCTCTGAAGGTCTCTGACAGAAGCAGATTATCTCATTCATGTCTACTGCCCAGTCCTGCGAGTAGCAGTACACACCACAAAGCTCTCAAGCCTGGCTGTGGTCAGAATCACCCTACAAGTTCTTGTGGATTCCCAGACCTGTCCTATCTGGATCAGAAATTACAGGGGTGAAGCCCAGGATGTGCATTTTAAAATAGTGCCCCCAAATCATTCTGACATAATCCTTCTGATACAGTTTGGCTGTGTCCCCACCCAAATCTCAAATTTAGCTCCCACAATTCCCATGTGTCATGGGAGGAACCTGGTGGGAGGTAACTGGTTGGCAGGTCTTTCCCATGCTGTTCTCATGATAGTGAATAAGTCTCATGGATTCAAAGGTTTTATAAAGGGGAGTTTCCCTGCACATGCTCTCTTGCCTGCCGCCATGTAAGATGTGCCTCTGTTTCTCCTTTGCCTTCTGCTGGGACTGTTGATACCTCCACAGCCACGTGGTACTGTGAGTTCATTAACCCTGCTTTTCTTTACAAATTACCCAAGTCTCAGGCATGTCTTTATTAGCAGCATGGAATACACACCTTCTCAAAGTCTAAAAAACAGCAGCCTCATCATTCCTTTGACAAGTTGCTACAGAACCAATTTCAAGATGTGCTTTTTCCAAGATGTCCCTAGGCAGAAAAATCCAAGGGAATTCTTTTGTTCACAGCCCACCTGTTGTCCTCCTGTTGTGGCTCCAGTTGGAGATTGGCTGCAGCAAGGGAGACTATATCATACCCACTATGTGCTGGCTTCCTGGGCAGATGGGAAAAAACTCACTTTCAAAACTCCACTCAGAGTGGGTTTCCTGGGCACCACTTTTCTTTCTTGGGATGTTCAGTATTAAGATCTTTATGAGACAGAATTTTCTCCAATTAGCAGAGAGAGAGGAGGAGGGAGGGAAGGGGGGGGTGAGAAAGAAAGTGAGAGTGAGAGAGAGAAAGAGAGAGGAAGAAGAATCAGAGAAAACCCTCTCCCTTTACAATAAGGAAAGAAGTATTTGGATAACAGCAGGAAGGCAGTTGCAAAAGTAACCAAGGAAGAGTTACTGATTATAATTGGAGGCTCTGGCTTGTTTTAGAACACAGTGGCATGGCACCAGGAACAAACCCATGATTTGGCACTTCAAACCCTGAGCATAGCTATTTGCTCCTTAAATTTTTTTTATATCTCAATTTTCTATATTGCTCAATTTTCTTTTGATGAATATGTATGACTTTTACTCCTCCAAAACTGACTTGATTTTACAGTCAAAGATTGCTCACTTTGTTGAAAATGCCAGGCTTGATGCTTCTGAAAACAAAATCCACCTATGGAAGATAAAGTCTCTGCCCCAACCCCTAGGATAACCCCACAGAGTGAAGTCAGTTCCAGTCTCCACAATGAAGGGAAGGCGGGGTACGTAACTCTACCGATTGGGCTGCAGGAGCTATTCCAGAGAGTAAGCACACTGCTGGCCCTTGGGATCTCATCCTCCTCTGTCTGAAACATTCATCTTTCAAGGCTATCTTGCCATGCTCTAGATCCAAGTTTGCAGAAAGCAGGTTAATGTGGTATCAACTTTTAGTAACAAAAAAGTATTGTTGGCTCTTCTTTTTCAATTTGGATCTTCCACAGTTATCTCAAAATGAGTTTAACTGTCTTGTGCCCAAGTAAAACCTAAACATTAGCTAAAAAAAATCCTGATTGCCAGCCCCTTGCATTCCAGGCTAATAACTACTGTAATTACAAATTCCAGTCTATGCTGGAAGAGTCTGCCGAGGAAGAACCCAGAACAGGGCTGTGTGGCCCCGCATCATGGACACTAGTTTTACTGTCACCCAGTAAGCACAGATCAGGTAGATGGCAACCTGGGTGCCCAGGGCGCAGCAAAAAAATGAAGCCTTGGGTAAAAGTCCCTCCCCTCCCCTTGGTTAGGGAGACAAGGCCTCTGCACTGAAACAATTAGGGAACAACACAAGATGCTTTGTCTTGCTCACCAATCACACATAGATCAATGATGTAGAAGTTATAAGACAATGAATCCTATAATAAAGCAATTGCGTTCGATTGTGAGGTACCTAGGAGAATATGTGCACTTTGGGTGGCTGGGGTAGGAGGATCACTTGGGCCCAGGCGTTCAAGGTTGCGGTGAGCTATGACTCTACTTCCAGCCTGAGCAACAGAGTGAGATTCCATTGCATTATAAAAAACAAAAAAACAAGAAACTGTGGAAGCAGACTAATCTGGAGTTCAGGTTATCAAAGCCAATGTTGTTAGGCCAGCATGTTTGCGGGTACAGTCTGGAAGGAGGAAGAAGCACACTAGGTGTGGGCAGTGCGGAAGGTTCAGAGACTGCTGAATGAAGGACCAGTGAGAAGGAAGGCTGACCTGAGGGAGTGAGGTGAGATGGGGAAAGCCTTCAGAGTTACACAGGGACGTTTAGACTTGGTGGGTGTGTGAAGTGAAAAGGAGCAATTGTGGCTTTCCTAAAAATGAAGTTATGAAATGATGGTGTTTTTGGAAGATGAAACTGACACCAATGGGCAAGAGAAGCTGAATGGAAGAAACAGAGGCAAGAGGTTCTCAATCAGATTTCTTCTGTCCTGGGACCACAGCAACCCTGTCCTCCTGCCACAAGGTTAATTTCAAAAATCATATTTAGAATGGTGAGGTGGCTCATGCCTATAATCCCAGCACTTTGAGAGGCCAAGGCAGGTGGATCACTTGAGGTCAAGAGTTCGAGATCAGCCTGGCCAACCTGGTGAAATTCCATCTCTACTAAAAATAGAAAAATTAGCCGGGAGTGGTGGCAGGCACCTGTAGTCCCAGCTATGCAGGAGGCTGAGGCATGAGAATCACTTGAACCTGGGAGGCGGAGCTTGCAGTGAACAATCACACCACTGTACTCCAGACTGGGTGACAGAGTGAGGCTCTGTCTCAAAAAAAAAAAAAAAATTTCATTTACAGATGGATCTGTGGCCCTCCTCTGACAGCCTGCCTGGGGGTGCAGCTCCTGGGTTCGGTCCACACCTCTGCCACGTGGTGGATGGTGCTCAGATTTGGCAGCAACCAGCTCCCCGACTTCCCAACACCCCCATAACACCTGGGCTCACGGAGCCCCTCAGGGATGGTGTGGGGCCTGTCTAGTTAAACCATCCCTACCCCTCTTTCTCCATCTTCACTGTTCCCACACTTACTTTTTTTTTTTTTTTTTTTTAGTTTTGTTGAGGTATGATTGATAGACCAAAAAAACTGTACATATTTAATATGCATAATTT